CTCTCTCATGCTTGTACCTGCAACTTGGATAAGACTTTTCACCTTCCCACTGATGATAAAAATAAATAACAGTGCTAATAAATATTGTCTATGCTACAGGAATATTGTAAAGATTAAAGGATGTGCATGTAAACAGCTTATAAGAGCTGAATGTTGTTAGTGCTAGGTAGATTTTTCAGTATCTGTGTTTGAAAGTGTATCCTGAGGCTAGATTAATGGGCTGTACTCAGAGGCATGTGGATAGGAAATATGCTTATCCTGCAAGATGTGATTGTGGTTTGCAATAAGATACAAAGGTGGGCATGTCAAGGAATACTCAAGGAAATAAGCTATTTACTACTCTGTCAGTGATTTCCCCAAAGCAATTTCTCTAATGCAACTTCAAAGGCGAGGCCAGGAAATCTAATTTGGGTCACATTCACAGGATATGGATGGGTATGAGTCTTTCTGTGAAGTACCTATTCACGTGTCAAATTAGGGGGAGTGTACTTATTCCTGATTTGGCTTAATTATTGGCTGAGAGCTCTCACCCTCGCTCCCACTGCTGCCCAATTATTAAAATCCTCTCTGTCTCCTCTGGAATTCAGGGTTAGTCATTAGCAAAATCTTCTGAAGCCTCACATTTTCTCTGAAAACTCCCTTCACATAAACCTTGGCTCTCTTCTATACAGACCAGTTCCCCCAGAAAACTCTCAGCTGGTTGCCTTTCTTTTCCACATGTCTTGTATATCTGAGCCCGGGAATGTGATGGGTGACCCATATTTTCCTCACTTTTCCTTCCTCATCTACCTCCCTGCTCATTAGTTGCCTCCAATATTGTCTCACATCTCATCAGAGTATACTGTACCAGTGAACCCCCTTTTCATTGAACATATCTGTCAACTACTGGCTCCTTCTCCTTCATCATTTGAAAACTTTAGCTCTTCAATGTCACATTTAGTCAATATTATTTCCAGTATAATTGTCTGTTTCAACAGCTATGCAGACTTATGTCTTATGCTAGGCTTACCATCAGCTTGTATAACACAGTTCACCATAAACAAAGGGAACTTTACCACCAGGCATACCCAGCACAAGTCATGGCAGCAGATAGAGCAGATGAAGTAGTGAATTTTAGTTGCTTAAGGCTCTCTCATTCTCATAATCAAACTCTATAAAGAGGAGTTCCCACACTGTTTAACTATTCTTGAAAGCTTTACATCCACTCCCTTCTTTTGTCTTGTCTCAGTCACACATATCATATCAATATACTAACTTTCTGATACCCTAAAACTCAATGCCATACACTCACACATCCAGGGACTTCTATCTCTTGCTCCCTAAAATGCCAGATCAAATAATCTTTTCATTTCAGTGTTGTTTCCACCATCACAACATCCTTCTGAGGTGTGTTTTCAATCATCTCCGCATCCAATTTTAATTCCAGGGATATTCCCCCTCCACACACACACACACACACACACACACACACACACACACACACACACACACACACACACACACACACACACTCCCTTTCCATACACATTCAATGCCTCTTCCTTCACCCATCGCAGCTAGATTTGACAAGATCCCATGTAATTGTAACCCCTCTGTACAGTATGTTCACAAAAAATAAAATAAAATAAAATGGAAAAAAATCTATCTGTGTTCTTAGACTATGAATTCAGCACCTGAATGCAACTGGAGAAATTTAAAAAAAAAAACAAAACAAAACAAAAAACCTTCTGTCATAGTAAATTCCAGACTAATAACATTGAGAGTTCCCTTAGTGCTTTTGGACTCTTCTAAAAAATATTTTATATCTTCTACTTAAATCTACTAAAAACTTTCCAAACCTTACGCTCAACTAATGAACTGATTTCCCATTGCACTGACAAGTATGAAACAGTGACGAGCAAATTTTTATCAGCCTCTTTCACAGGTACTCACTTACTTTCATATCAAATAAAATAAATCCAGCACCTGTCTATAATCCTTTTCATCTGTAAAGGTCCCATTTCCCCTCATCTTTGGAAGCATATAGCAATACAACATTCTGCCCACATTATTACTTTTTCTTCCTCAACCAGAATTGTTTGTTTTTGTAAGTATACAATTCTAACTAATGTATTTCCTATTTTGAAGACATAACGTATTTCTATTGTCCTGTAGGCATTTTCCTATTGCATGTCTCTTTTTCTCAAAAACACATTTGGTCTCCATTCTTTCAAACCCTTTCCATTTGGGCTTGTAGCTTTATAATTCCACAAAAGCAGCCACTGTCAAGTTCATCCATAAACTCACAGGGCAAAATTCAGTGGAAATTTTATAATCATCATCCTAACTAGACATATTAAATGCCCTGAGAGTTGACTCAATCACTTCCAAGAAACACTTTCTTCACTTGGTTTCCAGGACAGAAATATTTTCATGTTCTTGATCCTCAGTCTCATTTGCCATTTCCTGCGGTCTCTTCCAGCCTCTTGAAATTCAAGTGCCCCTTGAATTTTAGAGCTCAGTCTTTGAACCACTTCTCTTTGCAATTTACCTTAGTTCTTTGGTGATCTCATTCAGTTTCATGTCTATAAATATCATCAGTAACCTGACCACTTTCAACTGTGTATCCCCCTAGAAAAGTGTTTCCTTTGAATTTCAGAGAGAAAAGTGCAGTTATTTAGCACATCCACCTGGCGGTAGAAATAAAACTCCATACTCTGAATCCAAAACTAAGGTCCTGATCAACAATGCTCCTGCCCATCCTCCTTCACTTGGAAATCTTTCCATTTTGGCTAAAGGCAATGCTGTGCTACTACCTGCTCACATTTAAACTTTTCTGTCTCACAGCTATTGGTCTGTCAGCAGCTCTCATTGCATCTCCCTGCAAGTCTGTCCAGAATCCAGTCACTTTTCATCACCTACTACTGCTCCTTTCATTCGCATCACCCCCACCTCTCCTCTCTCCCCTAGAATCCAGCATCACCTTCTAACTGGTCTCCCTGATTGTATCCTTGCTCACATATTTTCTTATTCTTACTGATCTTGTTCAAATGTAAGATCACTGTCTTTCTAGCTCAAAACCTGACAATTCATTGATACCTCAGTTAAAGTAAGAGCCAAGATTAACATACGTTAATCTAACCCCCAATAAATTCTCTGGCTTTGGGGATTGGAGTTGGGGCTTGGTTTATAGAAGGTTATCCAATTGGCAAAAGCCTCAGGTAACAAATTTAAGTCCCAGTCTTGGACCTAAAAATATCATGTGGCTTTATAGCTAGCCTTACTCCCTTTTCTCACTTTTGCCTCCTAGACACACCAATCCTTTGCTGCTTCTGGAGTGTTCTACACGTTCTTCTGCCTCAAGGCCTTTACAGTTGTTGCACTCTTTATTAAATCTCACTCCATCACTCCATTGAGAGCTCTTGCAAACATCTTGGCCTTCCTCTACTTTTATTCTTTCTTTTACTTTTTCCGGCATCACTTGTCTCTACTCATTAAACCACACATGTTAAGATTTACCTTGCTTATTGCCTATCTGTCAAAGAATCTTAAGTCTACTAGAGTTTCATTTTTGCTATCTACTTCTGGAACTGCAATAACAAGAAGAGTACATGGCACATGGCAGAAGCTGAGTCTATAATGACATGTATAGGTGGCTATATCTATAAAGGAAAAGAGAGAGCGCACACACACATACTTATAGTACACACACACACACACACACACACACATTCAGTTTAACACTGGGAATGACCTTAGTAAGATTCTCCATCGTCCTGAAAGGAAAAGGTGTGCCTCATTCACTATCCCTTCCAGAATGCCAGCAACTGTGCCTGTCCTCCTTGGTTTCAAGTACCAGGCACAGAGCACCCACTTTCTTCAGTGATAGGGAGGTGGTTTCAAAAGAGTTTGGAATTTTAACTTCACATCGACTACCAGTTAGTGATTGTAATACATGAAACAGTTTTCCCCCATATTAGTCAGAAAAGACTGTTTCTTATGTTAAATTCACAACCTTGGCGGCAGATCAGATAGGAATGATGCAGCATTGGTCTTATGGGGCCTATCAGAAAGCATGGCAATCTAAAAGGCAGGAGTGTTCTATCAGTCTGCAGAGAGAATGCAAGGTTCCTCCTATGGCTATTAACAAAATGAACGACTTGGCATTGCTACTGAAATATGATATTTCTGAAAGGATCCTTTTAGGTCTGTTTGCTTAAAGAGAATTTACTGGTTCTTATGAAGTACACTTGTAGAGACTTTAATTACACCATCTTTCTCCCAAATCATGATCTGTGACCAGTGGGGTTAGGTACAAGAAAAATCCTGAGTGCAGACTTACATACCCCAACAGAATCATAATGTAATTGCATCAAGAGAAATTTACGAAGAATGAAATAACTGAGATGGGATTCTAAGGTTAAACAAAATGTTCCCTTAGAATTCCAGGAAAGTCCTTCACTTGTCAAATGTGTTTAAGAAGAAAATACCTTACTTGGCCCATGTTTCTGTGAGTAATGGTAATACAAAATTTAATCTACAAAAAACAAAAACAAGGAACAAAACCATTATAAAACTACTTGTGATTGCAGGAAAGAATCAGTATAATCCATAATGAAACATGACCATTCTTAGTACTTCCATAAAAATAAAATCATTGGATACCTCTAGGAACCCCGCTTGCAAGGAAAAACAATACTGGTATTTGTAACACTCCAGAGAATTTTGAAGACAAATATACTATTAGGGGGAAAAAAGCAAACAGTAAAGAACTATATAGATAGTAAACTTATTAAATCAAAGTCAACTGGTGATCAATTTTACCAGGCGGGTGGGAAGGGAAGGAGGAGTAGGAGAATGAAGAAGAGGAGGAGGAGGAGGAGGAGGAGGAGGAGGAGGAGGAGGAGGAGGAGGAGGAGGAGGAGGAGGAGGAGGATCTATTATGGTACATAGTTCAACTAGTGAAAGTCTGCATAACTTTTACAGAAACAAAGTTTCTACCTGAAGTTCAACCCACTCACCTCCATTCTCCTCTCCATTGGCACTGGCCTCTGCCATCTCTGTACCTTCCAGCTCTGACTCACAGACTAGATCCAATGCCCCATCTGCTGGACATGATGATTCTTCTTTCTATATTATTTTTTAATGTAATAGTAATAGAAAAACTTGTTATTAATAGAAAACATTTAAAATACTTATAATTTTAAGTCAATTAGCACTTAAATCTGAATGCTCTTGAACACTATGTAGATTTTTTAAGTAAGCTATTTAAAATATTTTTAGAATCATGAAGTGTTATCATAGTTATACACGATTTCAAATTTCAATGCTTGACTCTTTAATGTAAAAATCGCTTGACAAGAGAAAAATTTAGTACTGGGAAAATTTTGTTGATATTTTTGTCTAATTTGTAAAAAACATCCATACAGAAAGTATCCTTTGACATATGCTATTTCCATTTTTTTCAATTCTCTAGGCGTTCTTCTATGAAGAAGAATATTTAAAAGCTCAGAATGTTAATAGTATATTAAACAAAATAGCTATAATAAAACAACTGAAAAATACAGTCATTATGAAGAACTTGCATTATTTCCTGACACACCCACCATAACAAGGACTTGTGGCTTAAGAAGGACTTAAGTTCTTGCCAGAGATAACTTTGGGAATTAAATATAAAAATTTCCCAAGAAAATGAATGAACTTAAAATATGGTCCCTCATTTATTAAAAAAGTAACTTGTATTTTATTTATAAGAATTAAAACAGAAAATTTGTTTTAAGTCCTTGGTAGTCCTTTGGGAGTGTGTATTTCAGACAGTATTTCCCATTCTAGGGGAAATAAGAATTAGACAAAAAGAATTACACAAAAGACACAGTCATTTGCACATTTGTCTTTTATTTTCTCTATTTTCATTTATTCTGTAACAGGTATGCACTGTTAGTAAAACTTGAGAACGTGGTTATTAAATTGAATACCTGATTTAAATCAGCAAGTTTTCAAGCACATAGAATAAATTTCTCATCTTCACAAGAAGGTGTGAAGCCTGTATACCAGTTACAATCATTAAGTCAAAGAGTTATGAGTGACTATGATGATCTTAAATTCCTCACTGACAACCCATGATACTCCTTCCCATAAATTTTAAAGAATCAAGAACTTCAAGGAAGCCACAACTATTTTCCATTACCATATGTTACGGAGTGAAACCACAGATATGCTGTCATTAAAGAATAAAATACCATTGTTTATTCTTAATATGAAATTATTTTGTGACATCTGAAAACACTTAAAAAGGCATAGGGGTTCTTCTACCCTTCACTGAAATATAATTGTATTTTCCTTCGTATGTTTGAACAAATGCATGATGTACAGTAATAACACACATAATACGTAGGACAATTCAACTTACTTTGAGAGCGTAGAGGCCTGACTTGCCAGGGATCTTGAAGAAGGTTCCATCCCCTATTCGAGTGTTTGTGTGAAGCATTGCATTCAAACAGGCTAATGGAGAGGTTCCACTAGAAAATAAAAATGTGCAAAAATGAAGTGTCTGAGATGCAGCAGTTTGGGAAGACTGTTCTCTGAGTCTCTTTAAAAAAAAAAGAAGGAAAGAAAGAAAAAAAGAAAGAAAAAAAACCTCACATGCCTTTTTAAAATGTCCTCCCATCCTCAAAAACATCTACATTACAATAACAGGCCAGTCCAGTTTTGCCAAAGTTAATCAGATGCATCTGTTCTACAGCCTTCAGGCGAAAAGTTTCCTAAATTGAAGTTACACTTTTATTCATAAAGCAACCAACATTCTATCTTAAGAAATCAAAGCCCAAACTTTTATGTGAGGTTATTTTGTAAAATAACACTGTGATGCCTCAGTTTTAAAAATATTCCAGACAACTTGATGGTTGCACTTGAATGATCAAAAAAAAAAAAAAAATCAAGTTCAAGGGCAGCTCCATCTTGTAGGTTGCAAAGCAACAAAAGAATAATAAAAAACAGGGAAGGACTGATTTGAAATTATAAGCATTTAGGGATGCATTTCTCACAGGGCAAAATAAGGAATGTACTCTGTATTCATAGCTGTGATGTAGTTTCTGACATGGCAGAGTTTCCTTAGATTTGTAAATAAGTAACTTCAAAATTCTGCTTAGCTAATAATCTTCTGCAGCAAAGTACAAGTGACTTAAATATGAAATTAATCTTGTTTGATTAAGATTAAACTAGTGATTAATATTTTCAAAGTACTTCTTTGTAAATATTATTGTGGTAAATTCATAGGCTTGTTAAAAGGTACATGAAATGTTAATATTCATTTCTTGGAATAAAATTTAGATCTTTTGTTAGTGTGTGTTTTACCTGTAAACTAAAGCTACAATTATTGCTTCCATTTGATTACGTTTCTGTACACATTTATCTTCTGAAGATGCTCAAATATCGATATTTGTACAAGCTAATTCTGGTTAGAAATCCTGTTTCTAGTACACAATCCTCTGGGAGTTACAAGTATTTAACCCAAAAATATTCTGAGACAACAGAGCTTTTAAGTATTGTAATTTCAAACTCTGAGTTTCTGCATAAAAACCTAGCTATTATAAATTAAAGCATTGTCTAAAAAGAAAGATTATCAACACTATTATACACTATGAAAACTCATCAGTACAATGAAAAGTTAAATTTGCTTAGTGAGATGCCAGAAGAGACTTAATCAAAAGTCAGCATATATCTGCATCCTGGTCATAAAGGTTTAGAGGTAGTATAATATTGTGAGTACTCTTTATTATTTTAGGAAGCAGCTGCTCTGTGCCAACACATAAATACAAATCCATTGGGTTTGACAGGAAACAAGATTCCTAATATAAATTTGGCCATAAAACAATGTAATGGTAACACCAAAGTACACATGGTAATAATGCTTTGTGCTTATGTAAAACCTTTCCTCATGAAGATCCTACAAGCTCACAAGCTCTAGTTAAGTGAGCCAAGGCATACTTACAAATAAACATATTCATCTCTCCAGAAATGTCTATAACTGAATTCTAGATAAATAATGCAACACATGTTGTAACAGTACACTGCAAAATATATTTTTTACATTATTCTCTGCAAACTAAAGCACAGAAAATCTGAAGCTTGGAATGAGTATGCCAGATTTGGGGAGTTTTAATTTAGTGGGACTGTCAGCAATATGGACTTTCTGTACAGATTTGGCAAGGAGATCTACAGCTCAACACAGAAAAATGACACAATGTAGATTGTTTCAAATAGAACTTGGTAAAATTGTCTACCTTACTTGAACCATCATAACACTCTCCTTGCTCTTGAATACTAATGCATTCGACTAACGAACTCATGTTTAGAACATTAAGTAGTGTGCAGATTTAAAGATAACTAAGAAACACTGAACAAATGTAACAATCACTTACCTTTTCTTTCAAAGTAAAGGTAATTTTAGAGTTATATGGGTTATTAAATAGTAGCTAATGCTGTAGTTTTTGTCACTATGTGCTCTCTACTCAGTCCAGACAAATGGTAAGCTCTAATGAGCATTAATACCTTACTAAATTACATAGTTTATTAGTTCAATAAACTGGATTTGCTATGAAAAAATGTAAATATATAATTACATTTACAATAAATCTTCAGAAGTCTCAATGACTAGTAAGATTGCAAATATTTCCCAAACAAATGTTAAAAAGCATTTTTCAAAAATCATAGCATTTAGTTATTGATATTACTTTCTTAAATTTCAAAAAATCAAGAAAATTTGGAATCATTTTCCTTAAAAATATGTACACTGGGAAAAACAAAGGAGGAGGTAACAATGCTCGATAGGAAATGTACTCATTACCTCGCTCATGTAACTATAACCCCTCTGTACACTATTTTTACAATAAAAACATAAAAATACGTATACTGTACTCATAAATTGACAAATTGAGTTGAAACCTCCTGGTACAAGCATTTATAGATATATAGTTTTTCAACATAAATAAATAATTTTAATTTTTTGTTTTATTCTATCATTGGTCTTATTTTTCTCATGATCATATTTTCTATTTATTTTATTTTATTATAAAGATGATGTACAGAAGGGTTACACTATGTAAATCAGGTTTTTGAACATTGTTACCACCTCTCTAATTTTCTCCCAGGTCCTGATCCCCTTTGACCCCTCCCCCCACGTTGTTTAGTTCATTTCCAACATAGTATCTAGTGAGTATCACTGTTGAATTGGCTGATCTCCTGTCCCATGGTGTCAGTGAGCATTACATTTTTTAAAGAAAGGTCTTTACTGAATTCTACTAAACAGGAATAAATAAATGAAAACCATATTGACATAATTTTGTTATTTTATATACAGAAAAAGTAGAATTAGGAAATGCACTCTATCTCTATTTAGCAACTATAAAGATTAACTGTGGGTCTGAAAAAGATGAAGGAAACATGATTTCAAACGTTCTTAAGTATTATGTAACATTTGTTAATTTTAGTTCATTCACAGAACAGTTTCTTTATTTCTAAGGGTAATCAGCATAGTCAAAATTAAAGTGAAAATTTCTTGTAACAAAACATGTGTGTGTGTGTGTGTGTGTGTGTGTGTGTGTGTGTGTGTGTGTGTGTGTGTGTGTGTGTAGTGAAGTGAATGATAGGTTTTTAGCAAAGTATCTCTGAAATTTCACAGGTTACTTACTTTCTAATAAGATGAATCGGAGGAACCGTGACATTCCAGTTTATAAAAGGAAACCAGACAGAAAGGAAGGAAGAAAAGAAAGTTAGTTTTCTAATACAAAAGCTCAATTCTTCACTTTATCAATTCAATAAGTAAGATAATGTACAAGAACTAGGCCAACACCTGACACAGGCCACCTGTGGGTGCTCAGGAGGTCATAGGGTGCTTTTGACTTTCTTCATCAGGACATCTACAATGCTGGCAATTTGTTCACCTTGTACATGGACTGTCATATTATAAATATGATAAGAAATAAAGAGGACAATATTTAGCACAAATTATCTTTTTTCTTCCATCCCCTATAATTATGCTCTTTCTTATACACCTGCCAGAGTAGATATATAGCTTATTCTATTTATTTGATTTTCCCTCCAGACTGTAAGGTTGTGGAAGCCTTCTGGGTTGTTTCCATTTCTCACAACCCCTGAAGCAGAACAGGAGTGGAATGTGGAGGCAGGGGAGCAGGCATAATTTAAAATGTCTAGACATCAAAGAACCCCTAGAGACACTGTGCTGAGCCCACTACTGTGTGAAATAGGAAAAAACAAAAAACATGGCTTTTTTGTCATCAAATTGGTGATGGGACTCATCAAATTTTACTAATAGTGAATGCTTAGTGAAGGGAATGGATAACCTTTCTATTTAAATAAAAAATTCAAAGCCAGGAAGTATCCTGGGAACTCTGATTGAAAAAACAGACATGACAAAGAAATATTATAAATACAGGCTTCCATTATTTTACGTAGAAAAACTAATAATGTTGCATAAGACAATATTTAAATACATATATGTCTTATATTACTCTAGCATTTAATAAAAATTTAAGAATAAATTTATTACTTGTAAATATGTTTAAACTTCATTTTAAAATATGGAAATATAAGGGTTAATCCTAAGCAACATAAGTCTAAAACCTCAACAAATTCAATATGCAATTATGAAGTACCATTATTAGACAATTACTGTGCTAAGTGCTGTTAATAATAAACAACTACATACTTCTTTCAGAAAACAATTAATAGCTTGTTTTAAGTATTCTATTAGCTTTGATAAAATATCTTAATTTAAAGGATCCATTTTAAAAGTAAATTATGTGGGTCCCTGAGGGTTTTGATGAGATTTTAATTACTGACATAGGATCTTTGAGCTCAGTGTGTGAAAATGAAACTGTTTATCCTCAGGATTTGTACATATAACTTTGTATATGTAATAATAAATGAAAGTATTTTAAAATACTGAAAATGACTTATGATACTAGTATTTATTTGACTATTTCCTTATATACTTAATGAACATGTGTCTACTAATGGTAAAGAATAAAGTACTCTGACCACTGAATGACACTTTCTAAACACACATGTTAACACAATGTACACCTGCTAATATGGCAGTAAGCCTAGAGAATAGTACAAACTATTCTTAAACTATTATCACTGTAAAGAACTCTCTAACATGACTAAAATCAAAACTTTTATTAAATGTTTTATATCGTGTATATTTTATTATAAATGTATTTATATCTGTAAGGTATATAAAATTATGTAATATCAAAATAATCCTAGCAAAAAAATGTGCACACAAAAAATGACCTACAGTAACCATGTTTTATTTTGAAGAACGGAGTGTCAAATTTCATGGTTCCTCTAAGATTACTAATGACAGATTTTAAAGAACAATGACATGTGAGAAATAGCACTGCTCAGAGCTCAGAAAAACTACAAAAATAAGTATGAACAAACCTTCAGCTCAAATAAGAGATAGGTCATATTTTAAAA